TTGGATGCGTTTTTTTTAAGCACTCCAGTATGTTTTTGGTGCATTTTTTATGTGTTCTTCATTTTTCCCCTCTCTTTCTCTTCAATTTAAATAGGGACATGTGCATTCCAGTGCATTTTTGATGCGTTTTACCGTGTTCCAGTACAGTTCTGTGCAGGAAAAATGCAGCCTGTTCTACTTTTTTTCTCCATCCGGAATGCACTGGAACTGCAAGCACTGATGTGAACTATGACATTGACAACCATATAACAAGCAGGGCCCTGTTTCCTCTTGTACCAAATTGTATTGTAAACGTAATGTCCACCTTCATTTAGTAAAGCGTTGCGCAAACTGTTGGCGCTATATAAATCCTTTATAATAATAATAATATATTTTCTGTGTGTTTTGGATGCAAAAAAAAAGCACGCTGAAATGCGTGTAGTGTGAACTGGCCCTTAAGGTTGGCTCCCTTTACAACCAGTGTCCACAATGTACCTAGCAAATCTGCCTTTGTTTCTCCTGCAACTGGGTTAGACACAACACTTACCACATTTAGAGGGAGTCGCAGGTGAACTGAAAATAGAAGTGTTAAAAATACTCAGAAGTAACATGAAGTATGAATCTGTGAGAAGGTCTGTTCACAAAAATCGTGAGACGGGTGACCTCTGAAAAATGCTTCATACAAATGTAACCTCTTCTGCTTGTATGTGCACTTATAATTTTATTTTGCTATGATGTAAATTCTTAAGTAAAAAAACAAAAAACAAAAAACACATGCTAGGTGTTTTGAACATAAACACCAGTAACCATCAAATATTTTGATGCTGCCCTCTTTTTTTTTTTCCAAACAAGGGAGTGGTTGATTCTTTTCAGGACTTCAGCCTTGGTTGTAAGACACCTGAATAGTATAGCAGAGTGGTGCACTGCATACTAGTCTCTTATAAGATCCAAACTGTTGCAAGAAGCCTTTATAAACATCAAGATTTTCTTTCACATTTCCACCTAAGCATTCTTCTTTTTGCAATAAATAGTATTTTATATAAGGATGGAAGGATGCATGAAGTTTGCTTCAGGGTGTGACAATTCTTACAAGGTGCATATGGGTTTTCATTGTATAAACTTTAAAGATATCCAACACTAGAAAGCTTTGTTACAAAGCAGATACTAGAGTTATTCCAACCTCTTCAGCAACCAAGTATCAAATCAAGGCAAGACACCTCATTTTTTTTTTTTGTTCCTGGTAAAAAGACAACAAAAAGAGTAAACAAAAATGTGCAATTTCATGGTTGCCATTGAAGGTACCCCTGAACATTTTGAGACAAAAATTAAAATTGTTAAATTGTATGGTATTTTTAGAGGTAGGAATAGACTGAATTTCCTAGAATGACCCCAGTTTGTTTTGATAATGTTCAAATGATTTAGTTCTTTTTAGTATCATTAAGAGCTTCTTGCAGATGCTGACGAAAAGCTACATATTTCTTTTGCACATGTTGCACTTTTTCCCGTTCTTCTTTCTCCAAAATAAGCAAGAAATTTTGCAGTTCTGGTACTGTAAAGGCATCCCACTGTCAACAGAGAAAACACAGGTAAGGGTCTTGACCTCTCCTGCTTACTAAAGACTGATATTTAATACGTTCATTTACAGAATAGTATACATTCACCTAAACTGTATAGACCCCAGATCTCTCATTTAAAAAGAGTGCCTGTCACTGCCCATGCTATCACAAGGGATGTTGTTCATCCTTTGTGATAGCAATAAAGTTGATAACAAAAATTAAAGAAACTATGTAAAAATTAAAAAAAAAAAAAAAAAAGTTTTAAAGTGCCAGAACACAAGCGTTGGTCCCGCACACATACATAAACAGCGATCCACCACACATGTGAGGTTTCACCGTCAGAGTAAGAACATAATTCTAGCACCAGACTTCTTGTTTAACTCTAAACTGGTAGCCTGTAAAGGTCTTTAAAAGTGTGTATATGGATAATTAAATGACCTTGCTGACATCACGTCCAGTCTGGAGCCGTCTTGTATTCCTTGCTGGTTAACGTGGCAGTCTGCTGCATTGGGATGTTTCCTGCACCACAGCCCAGCCACGCACAGACCACCTGGTAGTGACAACCCACAGAGCATACAGTACAGTACCATCAAGCTGCTTTGTATTGCTCTGCATAGCAGCATGCTTACATTGTAAGCACACACACAGACAAAATAGTAAAACATCACACAATTAACCCTTTTATCACCCCAGATGTGTACCCCTTCTTGCCCAGTGTCATTAGTACAGTGTCAATACTTTTTATTAGCACTGATCACTGTATTAGTGTCACTGGGGATGTCAGTTCCCACCCAGTGTCAGAATGCCTGCCGCAGTCCCTCAGTTGCTGATCGCACCATTACTAGTTTTAAAAAAACAAAAATTCCAGTATCTATACCACCATTTGTAAACACTATAACTTTTACATAAACCAATCCATTTACACGTATTGGGATTTTTGTTGTAGCAAAGACATGTAGCAGAATACATTTTGACATAAATTTATGATGAAATTTGATTTTTTACATTTTTTTATTGGATGTTTTATAGAAAAAAGTCAAAAATACTGTTTTTTTTCCCCAAAATTGTCAGGTTTTTTGTTTTATAGCACAAAAAATTAAAAATGCAGAGGTGATAAAATACCACCGAAAGAAAGTTACATTTGTGGGAAAAAAAGGACATAAATTTCATTTGGGTGCAGCATTGCATGACCACACAATTGTCAGTTAAAGTAACACAGTGCCATATCACAAAAATGGCCTGGTCAGGAAGAGGGTAAATCCTCTGGAGGGTAAATGGTTAAAGCATAATATGCCTGGTATTTATTACTTGGCGCAACATCATCTTAAAATCCCACCAAAAAATTGAGTATTATATTGTGTTCGTGTGCACTAAAATTCATTAAGGTGTATTTTTTCTAAAAAAATTGCATTTGAAAAAACCACTTGCCAAACACTGCGTGACATTAAAAATTGCAACAACCACCATTTTATTCTCTAGGGCCTCTGCTTAAAAAAATATATTAAAAAATCGGCTCGGAATGAGGACACTGCTGGATCCCTCAACAGATAAGTGCCCTAGTATTAAAATCAGCAGCTACAGGTTTTGTAGCTGCTGACTTTTTTTGGGGGGGGGGGGGGCTGGGGGCCATAAACTTTGCTTTAAAGTGGTGTGATATTCAGGGGTTTAGCTCCTCAGGACCATGTGCAAAGCCATTTTACTGTTGCTCCCAGTACCTGTTGGAGTGTTGCATATGTGCTAGGAGCTGTTTGGCAGCTCCCAGCACATATGCAGCACTCCAACAGGTCTTTCTCAAAAACTCCTACTCCCCACACCTGACATTCAGAGCTCCCTGTTTTTGTGCTGCATGCTGGAGGCTGCTTAATTCTTTAGTGACTGGAGTCTCCATAGTCAGGAGTGTAGGTTCTTTTCCCGCCCGAATATCACTCCGAACCTCCAAAATTCCGAATACATCTCTGCTAATATAGAGAGAACTGTGAATCAGTCCTCTCCTCTACATGGCTACCCAGGAATACCCCACCCATGACGGATGAGACCCCTGAGTACACACACACCTGGTGTACCATAATCCAAATATTGGCGCCACATAGCACTCAACCAGGACCCATCCCTGGCGTCCTGTACAGTGGCTAAAGGCGAACTGAAGGAAAACCATTAAATACACAATTCAAGTACATACATGGAGGATGTATTTTTGTTCTAAGATTTACAAAGCCCTGCCAGAGAGCATAGCTTGGCTGGTGACTTAACTTTTCTATACTGCAGCTAAGCAATGCTGCTTGGTCACATTCCAGCTAAAACCCCTGTATTAGACAGTATAATTTTTTTTCTGGCTAGCTGGTAAGTATGCTGGAAAATAAGTTTTATTTTGTTTGTTCTGTGAAAAGCCCTTCCATATGCACATTGGTTGCTACTGTTGTTTCTTTTAGATTACTCACCTGTACTTCTCCTATCTCATTCTCCTTTAGTATAAAACTCAGTACATCAGAGTCTGGACCAGCTAAAAGGCGGACATAAAGTGGATGCTCCGTCAGTGCTAGCTTCTGAAAAAGAACTAATAAAATGCTCAACATTAATATTTGTGTGCTACAAAAACAAAATGCTTTAAGTATAATTCCTTATGCACACTGGACATTTTTACAGCTGCTGTTTTTGGCTTTTGATTTTTTTTTCTACAGGCAGTAAATAAACTCCCCAGCATATTATCCTAAGTGTCCATACACACTGTAATCAGTGTATTTTTGGCAGGGGCATTTTTATGGCTGGGAAAAAAACCCAGAACTAGTGGGTTTCTAAAGGAGTTTTTTTTAGCTGTAAAAACACTCTAACGCTGAAAAATGGTGTAAAACGTGGTAAAGCGTGGCAAACTAGCATTTTTTTTTTTTGTACTTTTTTTGAGAAAAACAATTTTTTTTCTTTGGTAAAAAAAAAAGCTAAAAAACGCCGCTAAACGCTAATGCAAAAATGCTTGAAAAACTCACATTTTTAACATGACTTTACACAGCTAATGTTACCAGCGTTATTAAAATGCCCAGTGTGCATGGAGCCTAAAGATTAGCTCAAAAATAAAGAATGTTTCTTTAATAAACAAATGTAGAATACAGGTTCCCCTACTGCTGCATGAGGAGCCCTGACCTTCGAATCACACTTTTCGGACAACATTCATAGTTATGCCTTCCAGAAGGTTTCAGCTGATCTTCATATTCGCTGCCAAGTTGTCAAAAAAGCAAAGAAATTGTGATACTGTATCTTCATGCCCATGGAAAGGCATAAAGTAGTGGTTCCAGTTTAATTTTAAAACAGAATATTGTTATAAAACTATGTTGTGGAGCAATATAACCCCTTTCTACTGAGCGTACACATACACAATATTGCCAAAAGCATTGGGATACCCCTCCAAATCATTGGATTCAGGTGTTCCAATCACCTCCATGGCCACAGGTGTATAAAATCAAGCACCTAGGCATGCAGACTGCTTCTACAAACATTTGTGAAATAATGGGTCGCTCTCAGGAGCTCAGTGAAGTCAAGCGTGGTACCGTGATAGGTTGCCACCTGTGCAATTATTATTATTATTATACAGGATTTATATAGCGCCAATAGTTTGCTCAGCGCTTTACAATATAACGGGAGACAGTACTGCAACAATACAGTTCAATACAAGAGGGATAGGAGGTCCCTGCTCCTTGGAGCTTACAATCTAGGAGGGAGGGGCTAGTGGTACAAAAGGTAGTAACTGTGGGGAATGGACTGGTAGGAGGAGTAGAAGATTCCATTATTAGCTGAGGGCAGGATAGGCTTCCCTGAAGAGATAGGTTTTCAGAGATCACCTAAAAGTGAGCAGAGTAGGCGACAGTCTGATAAATTGGGGTAGAGAGTTCCAGAGGATGGGGGAAGCTCTGGAGACGAGCATGGGAGGAGGAGACAAGGGAGCTAGAGAGCAGGAGGTCGTGCGAGGAGCGGAGAGTACGGTTTGGGTGATATCTGGAGACAAGATTGGTGATGTAATTTGGGGAAGAGTTATAAATGGCTTTATATGTTATTGTTAATGTTTTGAATTTTATCCATTGGGCAATGGGAAGCCAGTGGAGGGATTGGCAGAGGGGGTGGCTGATACAGAATGGTTAGTAAGGTGGATGAGTCTGGCAGCAGCATTCATGATACACTGAAGAGGGGATAGCCTGCGATGAGATAGGCCAATGAGGAGGGAGTTACAATAGTCAAGGCGAGAGATAACAAGGGAGTGAATAAGTTGCTTAGTAGTTCCCGAGGTTAAGAACGGGTGTATCTTGGAGATGTTGCGGAGGTGAAGTCTACAAGATTTGGACAGTGATTGGATTTGAGGCTGAAAGGACAGATGGGAGTCTAGGATTACACCTAGCACCCTGGCACGAGGGGAGGAACTGATGATTATGTTATTGATCTTGATGGAGAAGTCAGGGGAGGGGGCATAAGCTGGAGGGAATACTAGGAGCTCAGTTTTTGAAAGATTGAGTTTGAGGACGTGGAGTGACATCCATGCTGATATGTCGCTTAGTAGGTTAGTAATGCGAGAGGAGACTGAAGGGGTGAGGTGAGGAGTAGAAAGATAGATTTATGTGTCATCAACATAGAGATGGTACTTAAAGCCATGGGAGTTTATCAAGTGACCAAGGGAGGAGGTGTAGATGGAGAAGAGTAGGGGTCCAAGCACAGAACCTTGAGGGACCCCTACAGAAAGAGGGAGTGGAGAAGAGGAGCCAGAGTTGTAGGTATCGCTGAAGGAGTGCTGCTATAGGCAGGAGGAGAACCAGGAGAGAGCAAAGTCTCTGAGGCCAAGAGAGTGGAGTTTTTTGAGGAGGAGGGGATGGTCAACAGTATTAAAAGCTGCAGAGAGGTCAAGTAGTAAGAGTACGGAGTAGTGGCCATTGGTTTTAGCAGTTAGTCCATCTGTAAAATTTCCTTGCTATCAAATATTTCATGGTCAACTGTTAGTGGTATTATAACAAAGTGGAAGCAACTGGGAACAACAACAACAACAACTCAGCCACAAAGTGTTAAGCCACGTAAAATGACAGAGCGGGGTCAGTGCATGCTGAAGTGCACAGTGCGCAGAAGTCGCCAACTGTCTGCAGAGCTAAAGACCTCCAAAGTTCATGTGGCCTTCAGAATAGCACAACAACAGTGCATAGAGAGCTTCATGGAATGGGTTTCCATGGCCGAGCAGCTGCATCCAAGCCTTACATCACCAAGTGCAATGCAAAGCATTGGATGCAGTGGTATAATGTACACCGCCACTGGACTCTGGAGTGACCAATCATGCTTCTCTGTCTGGCAATCCGATGGCCGTGTCTGGGTTTGGCGGTTGCCAGGAGAACGGTACTTGCCTGACTGCATTCCGCCAAGTGTAAAGTTTGGTGGATGGGGATTATGTTGTGGGGTTGTTTTTAAGGGGTTGGGCTTGGCCCCTTAGTTCCAGTCTAGGGAACTCTTAAGGCGTCAGCATACCAAGACATTTTGGACAATTTCATGCTCCCAACTTTGTGGGTGCAGTTTGGGGATGGCCCCTTTCTGTTCCAACATGACTGCACACCAGTGCACAAAGCAAGGTCCATAAAGACATGGATGAGCGAGTTTGGGTGGAGGAACTTGATTGGCCTGCACAGAGTCTTGACCTCAACCCCATAGAACACTTTTGGTGAATAAGAGCGGAGACTGTGAGCCAGGCCTTTTCATCCGACATCAGTGCCTGACCTCACAAATGTGCTTCTGGAAGAATGGTCAAACATTCCCATAGACACATGCCTAAACTTTGTGGACAGCCTTGCCAGAAGAGTTGAAGCTGTCATAGCTGCATCGGGTGGGCCAACTAAATAATGAACCCTACAGAATAAGAATGGGATGCCATTAAAGTTCATGTGTTTGTAAAGTCAGGCGTCCCAATACTTTTGGCAATATAGTGTATATCGTTATCGCGCAGCTGCATATACGCACTGTTTGTGTTTGTGCTGAAAGCATGCTGCACAGCACTCAGATTATTCCATTGGAAAACAAAAGTACTAAAGAGAGTGATACAGAGAAACCACAAAAAGTCATGTAATGGTCAAAACAAGGTTGGTGAGCCGTCCCTGGAGAACCTCTGGGGAAAAAAACAAGGGCAAGGAATGGGGGCATACTGGCACCACATGCCCTCTGTCCCTGATAACTATGGAATTTGATAAAGCTAGGTGGATAACTTGGTTTGCCCATCTCTTATATACAGGAAAAAAAACGATCTGCCTATGTGTATGATAAAGATAGGTGTAAAAGCTTGCAAGCCTTTTTAGAGTCCGAAAGTCTGATGACTTCAGGTTAAACCTGTCTATTGGGTTTGGCAAACTAAACAGCACCAGTTTGTAAGCCATCCTCATTATTCCAGTGGTCTCCACTATTGATTAACAAGATAATGTTAGGGAGAGACTGTTTTTGGGGTAGTGTAATGGAAAGTGCAATGCCATAAAGTGAACTTAACCAGGACGCTAAGACCTTATGTGTATCTCCAATCCATCTGAACATAGTTTGAATATAAATGCTGTATGGTGACCACAAATTCGAAACCTTTTCTCTTTTGGCAAGTGAAAAAGTGGCATCCCCAAAGGCCTTCTTCTCAGAGTTGCCTGAGATACCGGAGCTAGAAATTCCCAGAGATAACTTTGGAAACAACCAATTACAAGATTTATCTTTGTGAAGAGAAAATATTAAGGTGATAAACAGTGAACCATGTTCCAGGTGCTGAAAATGAGTTTCCTCATTTTGGTATAAACCAAGAATTTATAAAGCAGGTTGAAAAATGCAAGGGGATCTTGTGGAGAAAGTAATAGTGCCCAAAATACTATAAAAGAGAGCCCTGGGCTCATAAAGACAATCTGTGTAGTTATCTTAGGCTTATTGAATGAGTTTACAAAACCCTAAAGAGAACGGGAGAGACTGGGACTGTCTTCTACCATTTCTTGTGTTTGCATTCAGAATGGTACCACAGCAGGGGCGGACTGACCATTTGGAAACTCAGCACTGCCCGAGAGCCCGGGGTCAGTAGGGGGCCCCATGAGATGCCCCTGGTACCTTTTTCATAGGCTTTTTTGAGTTTGGGAAAGGACACAGGGGCTCCATGATCCCCTATTGCCCGGGGGCCCCAGGAGTTGTCAGTCCGCCCCTGTACCACAGTTCACTTTCAGTTGGTATATGCGCATAAAGGTTGATTTACTAACAACAACAAAAAATGTTCACTGTGCAAGTGCAGTTACATTATACAACATAATTTTTCCCAGAGCTTACTGAATGAGGTGAAGCTCTGCTGACTTTCATCATCCAATCATGTGCAAACAATAATGCCTTTTTTTTCTTCTTGCATGCGATTAGTTATTCTTTGCAAAGGGAGCTTCACTATGTTCACTAAGCTCTAGGGAACTGTCCTTGCACAGTGCAGCTTAACTTGCAAAGTGAACAGTCTATTTGCCTTTCGTAAATCAACCCAATGAGGGTCTGTTTGACATTGCTAAAAAAGAAAACATGGGAAGAGGAGGCCATTTCTTAGCAATGTCTAACAGAACTTGCTTTTCTACAACAAGAACCCTGGAGATTGCCCGTTGTTCCAGACCCAAAAGCAGAATGTATGTTTCTTGCTAGGAAGCAGGACCCTATGACATCACTGAAGAAGCGAGAGAGTTTAATTATATGGTTTACCATCCCAGGAAATAAAAAAGGAACATGTTTATATTTGATTAAGCCCTGATGATTGACTTCCCTTTCCATGGGAGGAGCTCTAAATGATGTAACGCTATCAGAGAGCCTGTTAGTTGCCTAGCAACACTGCAACCAAAGATGTATTTTCAGATCTACCAAGGTTCACTAATGTGAGTAAACAGGACATTGTCACAAAGCCCCAAGTGGGTGTCTGTCTTACACCCCTTCAAATTCCATAATCCCTTATAGATCCCAGAAGTAAGAGATCCTCACCAATTTTCAGGAGGCACTATAGCCATTAGGATGCATCTTTGATCCAGCACAGTGAATGTTTAATGGGTGTGTTTAATAAAGACACAACAAATCAGAAATGTCTGCATGTTATCAGCTTAATAACATTGTATTTTTATAGTGTTTTAACTTAGATAAGGATCAAATCATGATTTGTGGCAAATTACTGGCAAAAAAAAAACACCCCCAGTTAATTCCAAGGGGTTCACATACTTTTGCTGTAATTTTGCCGGTATCGCTATGTTCAATTGTACTTTGAAATTTCTATGACCTCTCCGCTAGCAGGTAAGGCCTGCCTGTAGTCCATTTCTATGATGGCTAGTTAGCTGTGTTTGCACGGTAAGTCAAAATGTTCTCTGCTCACATGCTATAGAATTTAAATAGAAATGTCTACTGAACTTTCTACTGAACCTGTTTGTGTATTTTTCTAAGAACATGATATGCTGAAAAATTCCCATAAAACCTGTAAAAAATGTCTGATAAAGTATGAATACACAACGTAATTGTATGCTAATTATTTTACTATAATCTGCATTCATATGCCCATGCAGCATGTACAGAGATGTATCCAAGGATACATCATAAATGAGCTGTCATATGGTTACTGTATCCACCTTGTCCATCCTTCTGCATTTTCTTGAATAGTGCAAATTTTAGAGGGTCATCCACCACTTGAAATTTTTGTAAAAGCCCACGGACGACCTCACTGGCTGTTGTGATGCTGCTTATATGTAACTGCTTCATGGCATCCAGTGGCACTTTGAGGGAGGTCAGCTTTTCTTTTGCTTTATCAGGTGACACTTCTTTTTTGGTGTACATGGATGGTGCCTGAGAGGTCTCTGATACAGTAACTGGACGCTGAAGATGCAAATGCACTTTAATGAATCCAGTATATGTTCCATCCTCTGCCTGGAAATTTAAAGAATATATTAATATAAGTCATTGTTATAAATTGTAATAAAGTATTTTGCTACATTTGCAGTGATGTGAAAACAATTGCCCACTTTCTAGTTTTCTCTGTCTTTGCAACATTATGGCATTCGTGCTTCCACTGCCTGACCAATTTTTCTTTTTTTCACATGCACAATGAAACACATTCTGGATTTAGAATTAATTTATAATCACTCAAACAATATATTTTCTTGAGGAAAAATTACAGAATTTAAAGATATTGGGGACAATTCACTAACCGGTATTTTTACTGCATCCAAGTATGCGGTAAGATACCACACAGCATTCTTTTTTTTTTAAATGTTGGCATTCACTAAAGAAAACTACTAAAATACCGCATGGGTTATTTTATTAACCACTTACACTCCTGAGGATTTACCCCCCTTAATGACCAGGCCTCTTTTTGCTACTTGGCGCTGTACTAATTCAACTGATAATTGCTTGGACATGCAAAGCTGCACTCAAACGAAATTTACGTCATTTTTTCACACAAATAGAGCTTTCTTTCGGTGGTATTTGATCACCTGTGCACTTTTTTTTTCACACTATAAACAAAAAAAGACCAAAAATTTTGAAGAAAAACAATATTTTTTACTTTCAGCTATAAAAAATATATAGTAAACTCAAAGTTAGCTATAAATTTAGGCTAAAATGTATTCTGCTACATGTTTTGGCAAAAAAAATCCCAATAAGTGTATGTTGATTGCTTTTGTGTGAAAGTTATAGCGTCTACAAACTATGGTATAGATACTGGAATTTTCCCAATTTTTTTGCTATACAGCGCTGCGCTAGTTTAACAGACAATTGCGTAGTCATGCAATACGGTTCATAAATTTATGTCCTTTTTTTCACACAAGTAGAGCTTTCTTTTGGTGGTATTTGATCACCTGTGCACTTTTTATTTTTGGTACTATAAACAAAAAAATTTAGGGAGAAAATGTTTTTTTTTTAAAAAAAACAACAATATTTTCTCATTTCAGTCATAAAAAATATCCAAAAAAACTAAAATTTCATCATAAATTTAGGCCAAAATGTATTCTGCTACATGTTTTTGGTTATGAAATCCCAGTAAGTGTATATTTATTGCTTTGTGTGAAAGTTATAGTGTCTACAAACTATGGTATAGATAATGAAATTTACACAGCTTTTACTTTCTGACTGCTCATCACATTTCTTGAGGTGCTAAAATACCAGGTTAGTACAAAACACCCTCAAATGACTCCTTTTTGGAAAGTAGACACCCTAAGCTATCTGCTGAGAGGCATATTGAGT